ATTTCGCGCATCGATGAAAATATGTTACATTTATTAATATCTTACAACCGAAAAATCTTCTTTCCGCATTAGGTATTATATTCAATAGCACCATTATACAGAATTTATATACATTTAAAGTAGAAAATTGATATGACAAAGAACTCGATAAATTTTCGGTTGCAATATTTTATTTAATATTAAATTTTTTCTTACGACTTCGTTTACGTGAATGAGATATCTTAATTCATCGTTGTAATACGTAAAATGGAATGGCAAATAAGACAACCGGTTTCTTGATGGAAAGAGGTAACTGTAACCAATGTCTGTAGACATAAACGGAACCATGAACTAATGTTGCCCTTCATGTTATGTGATCATAATATAGTGTGGTGCCCATAGTAACCTATTAAAACTGTGTTTTTTTTTAATGGGTGATAATGGAATGGTAACCCCGCCTGCGCTATCGGTATACACTGGCGGGGCACCAGTGAGGGGTGATAGGTGACGATGAAAGCAGGTCAGTTAGCCCATCGTGACGTAACCACGATAGTTTCCAGGGGGAACCGCGTGGAGGTCGACCTGATAGGGTGTATTAGTAATGGGGAAATTTAATATTCCATTACTGTGTTGCCATTTTGCTATTACCTCGACTGTAATTGAACAAATAAAAAACTAATTGAACAAACTTACTATCACATCTATACTAATATACTCGTAATAAACTGAAAGAGTTTGTTTTATTGATGGTGCTTATATCTAGTCAGATTTGAAAATTTTCTTTTGCATTTTATAGTTTATATCTTGAGATAGGTTATATGCTATTTAACATACGGTATTTACATACAATTATAGGCGAAGCCACGGGATATAGCTAGTTTGTAACATTAGAAAAGATAAGGATTATTAAATTACACATCGACCCTATAAATACGTGGACGATAAGAGTTTGCGGTACCTTTGTCCACTGAAAATATTTAAATGATATCAAAGCGAACCGCACTGGGTTGTACTATTATTAGAATAAATTAGTTTATCAACTAAGTATTACATTACACTGCCGCACAAAATTTATTATTAACGTCATTAATTTCACACCGAAATTAACAAGACTTAAATTAATTTTCTAAAGGAAAGCTCGCGTTTTCAGAGAATTCATCTTGTTCGTTAATATGATAACCATATTCAATTATACATGGACAAACAGGAGAATGCGTGTCTTTCAAAGATTTCTTCGGATTTAAGTACGTATATTATTATCTGGTTGTAAATAAAGTTGTATATGATGTGTCATTTGAACTTCTGATCAGAATGGTGGGGGAAACAGTATATTTTTGCTTACCAGAAGGAGACTTTGTATTTGGTGTATTGATATTTCAAGTATTTCTGTCCTACTTTTGTTTCTGCCTGTAAGCAGCTGTGCTTACATGACTATTGTCGGGTATCAAATTCGACAACAGACTAGGAATTGGCAATAAAATTTCAGAGTAAAGAGGCATTATATAGTCCTTAGTCCTTATAAAAGGTAACGTGTGAGGATTACTATAGGCCCACAAAGTATTTTGTAATGTACATGGTGCAGTTAATTAAATCTGGTAAATTATTATTATTATTTGAATATACAATATAATCTTCCATTATTATATGATTGTTATATTATAAACAATAAATATAACTAATAAGATTTATATATAATAATGAAATATTTTATTTATGTTTCCTAAGTTGTTTGTGAGGAGATATAAGTATAAATTTTTATTCAAAATATTACATATGTGCCTTTGTACATATGTAGTATTTTTTATAAAAATTTAAAATTAAAATAAGATTTATTTATTAGACGTGTCGGCAGCTAAACGGATATCATAGAATCTCATCAATATCTGTCGAGAACGAAACTCTAAGCCAAAATTATTTTGTATTAATAATAAGACTTATAGATTCCATATACTAACAATCATCCTCGACTTCGTACAAATGATTCTATTGAATTTATCCATTTATACAAAGTTTAAATTGCAATTTATTTATTTAGATTACTCACACAAATCTTTTATAAAAAAATCCAAATGGCTATGTAAGCCGTAATAAAATTCGTTGCATTGTTTAGAAAACGTAAGTGGAATAACTTTTAAATAAAACTGTTTAAATGTTTAGAAATTAAAGGTAATTACTTGATATTTTGCATAGAAGATAAAGATAAAAATTTTAAGTGCAGTTGCAATACTCAAAGGAATAAGTAATCAATTTTAAAAAAGGATGTATGGTATAGTGTTCATTCAAATGGAAAATCTGATTGAAAAATGTTTGTTTATTTACCAATGTAATTGGCGAACTTTATACAGGTATTTCATTGTTCAGCTAATATGTTACTAAGTAAGTATACAATTATTACATATTGTTTTGATTAAACTCACAAACTTTCTGTTATATTATTAATAAAACTTTAATATCTTACTAACGTAATAAAACTAGCTTTTACACGCGATTTTGTCCGCGTGACCGGGATATGTTTATTGACCGAGATAAAAAGTAGTCTATATCCTTTGCCATTTCTTACAATACATGTATACCAAAATTTATGATGATAGACTAAGCCATCAAGGCGCTATAAGGTAATAATGAAACAAACTCACTACCTATCAAATTTATAATATTAATAAAGATTGTAACTAGCGGATGAATGGTCATAGGAGACATTTATGAAAAAAATATAGCAGAGGAGCAATAGACGCTGAAACAATAATTTTGAAACATTTTTTTCTGTCTGTTTGTTTATTCTGGTATTACGCGAAAACAGATTGGATGCATTTTTCACTGTTGTTTTTCTGAAGGTCTAATTTAAAATCTGGTGTAGGTCTTATTTTGATACACCATCTGGAAGTGGTTTAATTAATTGGTTTTCTTAATTTCGAAAACAAACGTGTGCAAGCGTGCAAAGTGGTAGTGGGCATAAAGCTAGTACACTAGATAGATACCAAGTGCGTAACCGCCCTTATTTTGTGCAATCTTTGGCACGTTTGCTTATGCTATGTGAATATTTGATATAAATGAGGTTCATTAGACTCGTATAATGTTACGTGATATGACTAGCGATACGCAGCAAAAACAGCACGATTACGTGCCGTGCAGACCTTTTCTGGGACGTCAGAACGTATTATTTCTGTGGAAGCAAGCCGTTGCGGTGTTGGTTAAAGTTGTGACGCCGCGTCAGCGCGCCGTAATTGAATCTTGTGGGTCGCTCTCTGACCGCCCCCCACGATTGCTTATGAAAACTGCTTGCTCTGACTTGTGAAATTGTGGCAATGAATAAGATTATCGAAAATTTTCCTACCTGGCCATTACTGCGCCTTAAATATTTGATTCCACGTACTTCATTTTACAAAAATTATTGTGTTGATTATTCAATTGATTATAAATATGGAATGTGTAAAATGTTTTCGTAATTTGAAAGTTGTTTTCTAAAAATGTCATATTACTTAGACATATAAGACAAATAAAATATAAGTGCTAAAAATAGCATTTTTCTAATTCGGACTTTGTGTAACATTGCCCTTTATCACAAATAAAATTGTTATTGAAATGAAACGATGAACAAATGATTGAAATTCACTGTCCAGATTTAATTTTTATATATGCTTGTGTAAACTTAAACTAATTGAATTTTAGATAAAGTTCGTTTTGATTGGTTGATTGTTTCTAATCAAAACTAATCTAATATTTGTAATTCACAGTTTACTCCCTTCTTGGCACCATATTAATTATGGGAAGAATGTCTTTGATATCTGTGCAGGAAATTTCAATTTTTTGCAAAGCAAAATTTATTTGTAGACTACAATTCAGCGTTCTGAATCCTAAATGTGTTTGGAACGTTTTATTAATTTTAAAATAAGAATGAGATTTCTAGTCAATATTAATTTTACCAATCACGATTGAAGTGATTTTTTGCGTAGTAAAATCGAATGTAGTATAAGTATGGCGTTGACATGATCCAGTGTCAAGAAATGAGCCACCACTTCCGAGAATTGCAGTTATTTTCGTTTTGTTCTGAAATATCTTGAATATTTCATTCGAAGATTTGATAAGTGCTGTATATATTTAGAAATGCCTTAAGCGATTAACTTATACAAAGGTACTTCCAAAATGCTTTTTTTTGTTCAAATCATTTAGTCGATAACCGCTTAAAATTTAATGTCGCCGCGGGCGAACGGATTCTTTTTCCGATTGTCCTGTAGTTAGTTACCGAAGTTGAGATTATATCGGAATACTCATTGATCAAGCCATGAAAACCAGAGTTCGATTTTCTCAAGTCGACCTTTTCAATAAAATTTAAATTATCACAGTTGCGATCAGCCCTCATTTCCTTTGAGGAAACGTCTTTGTTGATGATCTGTTTCTCGTTATTCCAAAGGTTTGATTGTTGTTGAAGGCTTAAAGAACTTTTTATAAAATGGTTTGTTGCAGGAAGATACTGTCTTTCATTTTTCGTTGTGTAATAATTTTTATTTGAAGTAAGCTAGATAACGAGGAAGAAATAAAAATGTATTTATGTTTTTATTGACGATCAATGAACGTAAATTGGTTAAAAATTTATAAATATAAATACGTAAAATTTTTTTTATTAAATAAATATAGTTTTTAATGCTTGAAAATTTATCTAAGTACTAACAAATTATCGTTGTCTGTTATATTTAAGTTTAGTGTTAGTATGGAAAATATAAGGAAGGAATATATATACCATTTAAATGAATCTTTTTAGGTTTTAAATATAATAATTATATTTCAAATTCATTATTTTGAAGTAACAAAACAATAGTTTGTTAAAGGATTCTTTAACACTTCAGTAGTGTGATAAAGATAAGATATTTTGTCAAGTCTATATTCACTTCTTATTTTGATGGTTAAATGATCAGATATTATTAGCTCAGAATCTCATCATAATAGCGTGTCATTAGCTTCTAGATTCTTTACCGTGCTATTGTTAAGACTCATTAGTGTATTGACATTTGCATTTGTTTCAGGCGGATAATCGAGTGACACATGTTTCCGTCATCGACGAAAGCGGCCTGGTGGCTGGCTACGTTTTTCAGTGTATTTGTTACAGGTTAGTAATATTTGAACACACGACGGTGACTTTTTCTTGTTGTACCAAAACAATAAAGTATTTTAACTGAGACATAACTCTCGGTATTAGTTATAGTAGTAATAATTAAAAAGTTTTATAAATAGAACTCGATCTAATTTGACTGACCGACATTTTATAGGTTTGCCAACTTTTCTAAAAGTTGATCAAAATATTCTACTAATCATGCTTCACTTAAGAACATCGACAAGCTAATACCCTTCTGTGGGGGAAAATTGAATATTAATTTATTAGAAATTTGTTGGAAGAGACTTACTGCTTGTTTTGAAGATATTTAACGTTTATACATATTTTATTTTTCCTTTGGTCTTAATTGTTTTATTCATTAATAAACATTTCTTATTTCTACTTAAAGGGATATTTTCATCTTTAGTTATATAATTATTTAATTGATTGTGTAATTATTTTTTGTACATTTCAAATTTAGAATTCCAACATGGATACCCACTCGTTTCGGTGAAACGAAAGAGTTTTGCTCATAGATAAATAGAGGATTTTGTATGGAGACCACCTGTCGTAGTTTATCAGTTAACTTGACACAATGCTTCAATCTAGGGACTAAAAAACATTGACATTAATCTATAACTCAATATCGATATATATTGGCTACCAATGCCCCCTAATTGTAATGACTACGAAATGCTTAGAAGTATGATTCTGCATTATATTTCCTAAATATATATTTCTTTATAAATATTATAAAGTTTTGGTAGGCTCTGAACCTAAGTTTAGACAGATTTTAAAATGGAAATAATTTGATTCGAACTTAAATTTTGATAAATATATCAAACGCTATAACGTCACTGAAGCTCGATACTAGAACAGTTTTGACATTTAAATATGAAATTCTTTTAAAAGTCAATTAAAAATAAAACGTAGAGTAATATTTTGCATTTATTAGTATTATAGGATTAATTGTATTTTATAAGTTTTGTATGGAAACAAGTTTAAGTACACTTTCATAGGATTAACAGGCATTTTGGAATTTGGAAAGCGATGACCGTTAGAGAAAGTAGCTGGCATGTGTATGCAATAAGTTCGGTTAATGCGGTCCTATATGTCAAGTTTCACACGTTATTAGCTGATATCTAGGAATAATATATGAGGTATTTGATTTTATCATAGTTTGTTTCACAATGAAAATATGATTAAACAGAACAAGCGTGTTTGGCATCAGTTCCTATTATGTTTTGTCAGTCCCTAGAACAAGGATTATAACAAAACCTAAATTTCTCTTAAAATATGTTTTTTTTATGCAACTTAGAGTGGCAGACAAGCTGACGGCCCACCTGATGGAAAGTGGTAACTGTCGGCTATAGACATGAGCAGTACCATGAAAATAACAGAAAATAAAATGATTGGCTTTTTTGGATACATCAAAATAAATAGGTGTTATATCCACAGTATAGAATGTTAAATTTAAACGTTAACAAAAAAACATCTCCATCAAAATTAGACCAAAAGTTAACCAAATTTCAGAGAACCACCTATATATCTATGGCTTTGCCATATTCCTATCAGCAGTGTTCCGCCTCTTTGCTGTAGTGACGAGACCACGGGTTCACTTTTGCATTCTGCCGCTACCTCGGCGGAGACAGTTGAACGGGCCCTATGAAAATCACAGATTTATATTATGCGTAGATCATGTCGCCCATTAAGCATTGACTCTTTTGAGAATTGAACCTCTTATATTAGAGAATGTAGCTATATACATGAGGTATAAACAGATAAGACGATAGTTTTTTAATGAAAGATAATGGAATGGTAATCTCGTCTGTTTACCGTTAGGGCACCAGTGACGGATGATAGGTGAGAATGAAAAGGCAGGCCAGTTAGTCTATTGTGATGAATTCATCTGCAATTCAGCACGATGGTTTCTAGAGAGGACCATGTGGAGGTCGACCTGTTTAGGCATATTGCTAGCAATGGGTCTGGTAGTTCTCACTACTAATGATCCCTTCAACATCCCGATAAGACAATAGTAGATATATACCTATTGTTTAGTTCAATAAAACTTTAATTGTAAACATAGAATAATTAACCCGACCATAAGACAGTCTACTAATGTTCAACAGTAGTACAAATCAAAAGTCAATTGATTGTTTTGATTTGTTACTAATTGTATTTAGAGAGTATTTCTGTGATAATCTCAACAAACTTGGTTACCTGTCTTTTCCTTAACATCTATTTTAACAGACTATATCGGGGTGAGTTATAAAAGACATCACTGTTGGTACTTTCGAATCGATTCTTATTAATGATTTATAAGCATGGTTTGTATCCCAATGATGGATAAAGCCTTTTCTTTGTGTTCATAAATTATGTTAATTATTATTGTGCTATGAATAGTGTTCTGTGGTGAAGCCAGTTTTGCAAATCATGTAATAAAATTATATTAAAACGTAAGTCTGGAACTATCAAATTGATAGTTTCAGATAAAAGATAGTTGTTTCAGATAGTGAGAATAATGTCTGTATATGTATTACACTATACATTTATATGTGTATTAAATATGAGATTATAGTTCCTAGATGTATTATGTATTATGTATAATTCATTGAATTGATTTCAAGTTTTTGATACATAGTGTATATAAAATTACTTTTCCATTTTGAAAATCGATAATGATTTATTAATTGATTTGTTGAAAATATGTCACATATACTGTATATACTAATCTTACGAATAATAATGTACACAGGTGAGATGCCAATACAAGCGGAAATGGAGCCAGAGTTCTTGCAAGCTTTAGAAAATCACACGGTTACACAAGGCCGCGACGTACATTTCACTTGCGTAGTTAATCACCTTTCAAATTACAGGGTACGTATTAATTATTCAGACATAATAAGATTCGTGTATTTTGAACGTTCACATAGTTATTTCACTGCAGAAATAGGTAAGGGAGTAGTACCTGTTTGCATATTTATTTCTGCCAGCTTAATTTTATGTATAAAAAAATTAAAAAATCTGTTAAATTTTGAATATTGCCTCCTTGTAATAAACAATGATCCTATCTAAATCCCACTACCTGTCATTATAAGTATTAGTTACACTTTTTGCGCCAATTAGCTACTGTTTTTTTTTCCTTTCTCCTCTAGGCAAAGGTTGTCTGGAAGAGATTGCCTTAGCGATAAGACTGCCTTTTGTACTTTATAAGTGTAATATATGTATATCTTTGTATTATTCTTTAAGTTTTGCAATAAAGTAAATGAATAAATAAATTATATCTATAGAAATGAATCATGAAATAAAACACCTTTATTATATAATTTACGTAGAATTTAAGATCTTTATTAACAAGAAATTCAGTTAAAAGAAATCTCTAAATGTTTTCATCTTTAAAATTGTCACCATCTTCATATGTAAATAGAACCAAATCAACTATTAATAAGTTCAGTAGTTACCTTAATAACTTATCCGTTTTAATTATATCCTATGTGAACATACATTTTTGAGTCCATCTTCCACACTTCGGGTTGAGCCGTCGCTCGTATCTTATTAGATACAAGAACGGATCGCTCTGTCATTTGTGTGATCAAGAACTACAAAAAAATCTCCTAATGTTGTAGAATTAAGCAATTATTACGAATTAATTTAATTTCGAATACCAAGCACATGAATTTATATATCACAGCTTGTATACAGTTATCAATAAATGTCAATATTTTTAATTTGAAATAAATTACCACTTAAAATATATAAATAAAGCATTCTAAGAAAACAATGCCCGTAGATAATTTAGTTTACTGTTCATTACATCTCAACTCTCTGTTTGTTTCTTTCAATTATTGCCATTCCAATATTATTAAAATATATACTAAGTAATTTGCTAAATTCTAAATGAAAGACATTTCTCTTATAATAAATCTGCTTTAAATGTATCTTCTGTAATTCATATTTATAAACATTAATAATTCTACCAAGGAAGTAAAACTTTTTGATTCAATTACCTGTCGTTGTTAGCTACGTGAATTACTTTACAAAAAGTAAAGGAAATATCGAGAAGGGAATTGTGAGAATGTGAGAGGAAGTTGATATTTAATTCAATTTGATGGTATTATTTGTGTTTATGTTATGGTATATCGTCGTCAATTCAGTGTCATATTTTATTATGTTTCGTATAACCAATTTTATTTTGAATTTATTTTTATGTCAGTACAATGCAAATTTGGCAAATTTGAACTTGACTTAGTATTGTTTTTTTTTAACCGTACAAAAATTTAAAGCATTTAATTTATTTAATGATACTTTACGATTTTTGGTATGATTATAGAAACTACGCTTGCGACTTCACCTGTGTAGTCGAATTTAAGTTAATACTTATATTCACATTATAGCGATAATTTTATACTAACATCATTTGGGTGAAACGCAAACATGACTACCCAATTGTATTACTACGACTAGACAAATTACTTAGTTTCTAAGATCATACTAAATTGATTTAACTACTTTAAATATGTTGCAATACAATATCTTTTTAATAAGGCTAATAGTTATTGGATAACAAAATTTTGTTGAATTTCTATCAGTTATTTTTCCGCGATGATATTTCAAGCAGACATAGGTACATTAAATTTAAAAAGTATCCCTTGTTACTGCTTCCGAAGAATAAACCTGATGTATAGACATTTTGATCATTGATATTTTTGTAGCCTATTTTTATTTTGATGCATACTATGAACAAAATAAAAAAAATATATGGACAGTATTTAAACCCACACATCTTAGCTTACATCTTTTTAAAACCCTCTATTCAATGTCATTTTTTTTTATTTCTACTTACTTACAGGGCGCAGCTTCTTTTATTTATTTCTATATATTGAGCGTTTTTCCTCTACTGCCACTTACCGATTATATTTTTCATATTATGATAAAATTATCCTATCTAGACTCTCAAATTGGAGCAAACAATACACATTTACAATTTTTTTTGAAATCGGTTAAACAGTTTCCAAGATTAACGTGAAAGGACATCGTGATACGGGATTTTTATATTTATATATATTAAGATTGTAACTAGTCGTGATAGTAAACGAATTTGAGTTATGATAACATTTAGTGCAACAACAAAGCAGTGGTTTGTGGTAGCATTCCCATCACGTACTCAGTTAAGTGGCAACACTTAGTGTGCAACATTAGCTGTTAACTTCTCTAATCATTTGTACTGATGTTATATCCTCTAGTAGACATATTTACTGCAACCTACAATCAAAACATATGAGTTTTTGTTAAGTATCAATTTGAAAAAAAGTTTAACTTATTTAGGAAAATAAACTTATAAATATCGCCTACAGAAAAAAAGGGTTTTATAAGCTTATTTATAACTAGGTTGTGAAATCTGCTTCTTCTTAGATCGGTATTTCATAAATATTAATTTTGTTGATCTAGAGTTAGATAAATATTTTACTAAGGGTATAAATAACTTTCAATACACATTTTTTTTCATATATAATAAAAAAATAAAAAATAAGTGATATCTTTCTTTAATTCTGAACTGTTTTTGATGATTATTATTTTCGCCTTGGTAGGGATTACTTTCTCGTCAAGAAACTATTGATTATGTATTTTATTTTTATAACAGTATTTTATAACATTTTTGTACAATTGTCCTTAAAAATATTATGATTAATAAAATCAACTATTGAGTAATGGAGCAATTTAAAAATAGTAGGTTATTTTTCTGAACACATATATTATAATAAAAGCAGGCATTGAAGAATACAATACTCATAATCGTAATATGTTATTTTCTCAAAATAAAACAGTAAATAGACTGATACTATAGTTTACCGTAATTTATGGAAGTTTCAAGTCGCTAAACAAGCTTAAATAGCTGCTATGGTTGAAGTTACGTTGCGCAATAAAACACGAAACGAAGTAAGTCTGCAGTGGAATAAAGATAACATAATCACGTTCGGTGTCACAGGTCAAATTAACGTAATTAACTTCCATGTCATTGAAAATTATTTTTCAAGAAAAATATTATTAAAATTCAGTGAGGTCTGAAATTTGTTTTCTTATGTTTTTAGATTATTTTCTTACATTTCATTATGTAGAGTAATGCAGATTAGAGACCACTATAAGGGAATTACTCATGTAGACATTACATTAGATCTATACCCATAAGAATTTATCTTTCAAAATACGATACAATAATTAAAACTTGAACAGTTGCGATCAAATTAAATGTGGTAGATTAAAAAAGTTTAAAATAATATTTATTAAAGATTGACTACTAAACTGATAGCGATCAGCTAATTAACCAATAATTACGGTCAGTGAAATACATGTCTTTGACCACAATTATACGTCGTTCTACCACATTAAGTAATAAACCTTTCTAAATTCAAGCCTCTTTTAAACAAAAAAGAAAAATTAGCATCACGTAAATGACATTTTAAGTGCGCGCTGTAGATATAAAGTGTGTTAATAATCGTGTAACTTGTGACAAGTGTGTGCCTGTATTGTGTTCGCTAGGCAAACGTTAGCTGCAGAAGCGCGGAAATAATTCTCACAAACAATGAAATTGTTACTAATTTATTTTCCAACCGCAACAAAGCGGGATGTCACATGAAAAATGCTCGTGAGCGGCTCGGATGAGACTTCGTGCATTCCTCTAGCGGCGCTCAACAATTTTACGTGTCGTTCCCTCAGTTTTACATTCGCTACAACGTTTAAGTCACATTAAGTTTTGTCCCCACAATGTACAATATAAACGACTTTAAACTTGGAGGAGCGCGGGCGAATTACAGGCGATTTTTAGGATTAATAATGAACGTGAATGAAACTTAACTGTCAAATTAATTATATTAAAGTAACAGTTTATTATGCGGGTGGTTGAGGAATATACTGTCGTGAAATATTTTAGTAGTGACGACGGATAGGTTGAAGAGATGATGACGATGTTTATTTAAATTTCAATATTAAACTTTGTTATAAGTAAAGATAAAGAAGGTATTCATTTATAATTTTATAATATATATAAAAAAAAATATTGCCAACCGTTGCCGCTTAGTAGAACTTAAAACTCAGATTAATATTATAAACAAAATATTTTTACTCCTCGAAAATTGACCAGATTTTTCATTATAATTTTTTCTACCAATTAATACTAGTTATTATACTATTTTTTAACTGATCACGCGGATGGAAATTAATATGAATAAAATTTTAATACTATTTTGAAGTTTAAAGCAGTTTCTAAATTTTATTTATAAAATGTTATTATAATGTATAACATCAGTAAGTATAAAAAATCAAAATGTTTAAATGCTGTTTTCCAATTTAATTACCAGGTGGCGTGGATCAAGTCAGATTCTAAAGCGATCCTAGCAATTCATACAAATATGGTGGCGCTAAATCCTCGACTATCTGTCACATACAACAATCACAATACCTGGAAACTTCACGTCAGCAATGTTCAGGCTAATGATTCGGGCACGTACATGTGTCAAGTCAACACAGACCCAATGAAAAGTCAGGTAAATATAAAATAAAATTTAATTCGTGCACTAAAGTAATTTATATAGAAGTTGACTATAGAAATTATCAAATAAGAGACAATAAGCATTCCATTAAAAAGTTGAGTTCAATTAAGAATGTCTTCAGAAAAGTAAATTTTGTGTACAATAATTTACATTCGAATAATTTGAAATAAAGTTATAAAGTGTATACAAATTTGAGGTTTTGATATTTAAATATACTAGAAGACATTAAGAAAATTCTGTATTATTCCTTTAGTGCTTTGTATTTTCTTCATATATAGATTTGGAATATTATTGTTATTATAAATATTAAAGTTTATAAAGATGTTTGGATGTTTGTTCGTCACGTTTATATGGCTAAACAGATTTGAATAAAATTTGGTATGCAGGTAGCGTTGCGGGAAATAATTAGTATTATAAAAATCGTCTGTACAAATTAAACTTCTCAATTATTTCTTTCTTCAGATGGGTTATCTCTCAGTGGTGATACCGCCGGACATAGTAGATACAGTATCGGAAGAAAGTACAGCACAGGAAGGCGGTAGTATACGGCTGACATGCAGTGCTACCGGCGAGCCACCACCTACAGTTCTGTGGAGACGGGACCATAATAGACCTATCGTATTTCGACATGATGGAGGCAGGGAGAGAAAAGGTTAGTGATTTTCTTTTAGGTGGACTTAATTAAGACTCTTTTTCATTTCATTTAATCTTTGTTTAGTATAAAAATAATAATAGTGTTTTACTAACAAGAACTTTCGGCTCCTTTTTGTATATGTTGTATTGTCTTTTAGTATCGTTCATTGTTCGTTTAGTGTATTCGTAAACCTAGGTTAGGTTAGTTTTATGTTCTGGTTCCTCGTTCTTTTCATTAAACTCTATATTTAGTGTAAATTTACTTGATTTTTTATTATATTTGATTGACTTTATCCGTGTAGTCTAGATGTACTTTAGAATATTAGTAAGTAGCTTTTAGGTTACACAGACGTTATTCAGTTGTAATTTTGTTTGTGACTCTTTCATGAAATCGATTCGGAATTTATTTATTCTTTATTGCACAATAAAACCCTGTACAAGTGGCGAGCTTAATGCCATATAGCATTCTCAACCAGCTAACCACTAGGTAAAAACAGAAAGCGTACGAAGGGCAGATGTGGCGAAAAATATGTGACATAATTATAGCAGCATACTGGAAATAATTATACATAATAATACGTAAGAAATACACATGTAACACATAAATACTACTTATAATATATATAGTTATACTAATATGAAATATATTGGTATTGGTATTTCTATATCACTTTATATGTTCTTATTATATCATTTTAGTAATATTTGATAAATAAATGGAACTGCCAATTTATCTATTATCTAATTTATTTTATAATCTTTGATACTTTTAAATAGGCAGTAACTGTCTGTAGAGAACCTAAGACATAGCTGAGTGAAAAAAATGTTATTAGTGTTCAAGGTTCTAAAGTCTAAGATATTTTATATTAATAATACTTTGTAGGAAGAAAAAGATATTTACTTTCAGGCTGAATGTGTTTGACGCTTATTAAAATCTTAACTTCGCCTCCCATGGAGCCGGTTCAAAAATAAATTCATAATATTGTGCAGATAATTTCTCGTCATATTTAAAGCTTTAAAGTTAACTTTGAACAATATATTGACGAATAAAACATATACAGTACAAGAGTACTCTTGTGAAAAAAGTACTATGTCATATTTCTAATAAAATTGTCTTCTAATTATTATCAGATCGCCATTATTATCTAGCTTGGTAAGATAATGTAGAATTTTTAAATTTTATCGGTGTACATTTTTTCTTTCTATTGGTTGCGAGTTCGATTCACTTACAACATCCACATTTGGCTTTATGGGAATGTGAAAATGAGTTTGTCTGTTTGGTTCTTCTTTTGTCTAACTGATGTACTAATAAAATTCAGTATATAAATATTATTTGGGATAAAGGAGGCCATTTTTTATTTCAACGAAATAATATATTCCGGTTGCGTGGATAAGTAAGCGGATGCAAACTAGTATACCTACAATAGATTTGATTCTTATAACAAAATTTATATTATCTATTGGAGCTTTCTAAAATGGTTACAATTGGTACATTCAATTATTGTATTTGTTCGTTTATCGCCTGAGATATTAGTGGAGATAATATATATGTATATGCAAATGTTATAATTTACTAACGCTTTTATTAACTAACTCTCAAAGTTACAAGTGAAGCGAAGAGAATATTTCAATATTGGATCAAATTAAAACTTCATAAAACTTCAATCATTATAAATACGTGGGGGTATTGTAAATTGAATATTATAAAGAACACGACTCGAGCTGAGTGAAGTTTATCCTGTTAAAGAAGGCGATGGCTTGGAAAATCTCAGTACATGCAATGTGTTTTCTCGCTATGTAACATAAAATTTTGTACTATTCTTTCTTAGATTCTTCAGAATATGTATCTTATAAAACTTTTAATTGTACTTTAATTTTCATTTACACTTGAAATTAATTAAGAGTGAAATTTGCTTAGTTATACTGAACACTTTATAAAATATGAACAAGTCGAGTATTTAATTCTCTTTGACGGACTCTTGTTCGAAACTGTAGTCTGTAGTTTCGTGACCAGTTATGAGCGAAATGAAATTATATTGTACTAGTTGGTATGAAATAATGTTTATGTAATATGTTATTCATATTTATCTACATAACAGACATATCAGACGTATTCTTACTACTAAAAGAGACGTTTGTTTACAGGTAAATGTGTGTGTTTCGACCACCTCGTAGACACGTTATATTTTACCTTTTAATTAAATAATCTCTGTGGCGTAGCAGATAATTAATAGGTTTTTGGTTCAATAAGACTTCTAGGATCAAAAGTAGCCTTTATCCTCCATTAAGAATATTACGTGTATATAAAATTTTATGGCGGTAGCACATAAAAAACTCACTTTAATATTTATAATATTAGTAAGGACTTATTAGTACTTGAATGGATTATATGTTGCAATCTATTTTAATGTATTATTATTTTTAATTAATAATTTGTTCAGTATATATTTAACTATATATCTCATTATCTTTACACTTTATATAAAATAACAATAATACTATTTTAAAATTTAATATTTGTAAAATAATAAGTGTCGTGTTTTATTACTAACTCTTTACCATCAAGGAAAGAATATCTGTTCAGAAATGTTAAGACTTCTATAAGTAACAATAAAGTACTTAGTTTCTACATACTATAAACTATATACTGTATTAAACTTCTTTGAAAATTTATCATTAAACTTACTCCAGATCCAAGCTGAGTGTGCAATATTTTTATATAATTGCTATTCGTAATTTCTATATTAAACATTGTATTTGCTTTATATTACATGGTATATTATCAAAAAGACCTTTATGACGTCATATTAGCACAATGCCATTTTCTATTAGATACCAACATAGCTCAATATTCTAAATTATTACCTAAGTGTGTTTTATAACACGTTTTATACCAGTTAAACGAGGTGGTCGTTCCTGTACTTATAAAGAAATTGCCATAATAAAATTGCGGCGTGAAAAAAAACGCGATAAAAAGTACGTACCTCCATCAAAATGAAAGCCGAGTTTTACAGTGCGACACAGTGGTACCATCTATGGACAATGTTCTCATTGTTAACCCTTTGGAACAAGTTACCCTTTTCCCGGGGGTGCCGAAAGCCGCTATTCTGCTCAAGTCTTTTTTTCCAATTCAATCTACTTTGCATTGTCCCCGACATTCGCATGAGGCATTACACCTAGCCCCCGTCTCTCCCTCCTTGCACTTGCTTCCAAGCACTTCTCTTCCATTGGATTTTATTTACGCAAGAGAAAGCAAGCTTTAATACATATACCGCTGAAGACAATAAGGCGCCTCGGTGCGATATAAAAGCTTTGAGTTAGTCTCGCGTTCCTTTTAGTAGGATTCCTTTGAAATGAATCGAATAATTCGCCGAGTTTATGCTCATGGACGGGTTTTTATATGAGAATGCTTTGTTAAGGGTGTGTAAATAACGAACACCGTTCCCGGACAACATTCGGGTTCGATAACAAGGCCTCAAGTTTCACTCTTTTTTCTTATTGTAAAAAAACAACAGTTCTATATATATATATATATATATATATATATATATATATATATATATATATATACGCGTTTCCTGTTGTCATATTTCATAAAATAATATAATTCTGTAAAATTTGTAACTTTTAAGATATGTAAATGTATTACACAATATTATATTTACATTGTTTTCAAAAAAATATTTGAAATGTAATTTAGGTTCTTTCCTTTCCGTAACTTAAATCGACTTTGCGTAACAAGTTTCTATCAGACTCTTTTAGATCGAGCGTCTGGCAGAGAGACGACCAAAAAGGACAAGCGGCCCGCCCTCGACTGAATTTTTATGAACTTTTTTGTTTGTCTTTTTTTAGGTGAAATGTAAAGTTATATCACCGCAGGCATTGCTTTCTCAAAGAGCAATGCAGCGTGAAAATAGATAAGATAATTTTTAATCTGTGCCTACTTACATTTCTTGCAGTATATATTAATGACATTTTGTTTAAACTGGTTTTTATGCGTGATTTCATTTGTGTAACTAAGATTTATTCCCGGACAGGGATAAAAAAGAGCCCATGTCCTTTTCCATTCGATATGTTCCTGTATGCCTAATTTAATAGTGAATAGTTAAGTTGTTAAAGTGTTTAGAGTTAATAAACAAACAGACTAACTTTCACTTTTATAATATTAGTAAGGATATATTTTGTGGATTTATACAATTTACATAATGCAATTTACTATGGTGCTATGCATAATTTAGAATAATAGTTTGAATAATCGCATAATAATATTACCATATAAATAAGAGATAAATTTTTTTTTTTACAGTTTTTATGCAAAAATCTTGTGATGACTTCCAAGTCTTGTTCTCAGACCTTGCCTAATTGTCAAAACCTCAACACTGTATAGGTAAAAGTGCAAGGATGGACTAATCGAATATTTATTTCCATTCTTATTTATGCACACTTTCTAATTTCGTGTTTTGTAAATGATAATCTACATACGAAATGTGTCATCTTGTCAGTGCACACAATACGAACAATATTGTTTTGATAACGACGTGCTATGATGCAATACAAACAATCTAATAATTTCGCTACGCAAACTGTTGCAAATGGGAATTTCACGTAACTCCACTATTGGTCTCTAATGTGAATGTGTTGTTCGGATGATGGTATACGTATGCCATCAGTTGCCTGTGTTGTGTTCGTTTGGAAATCGATTAACGTTTAAGCATTGTGGGTTACTAATGTATCTGCCGTTGTGTTAGAATATTCCAGAGAGGAATATTAAAAAATGTAGTGTGACGTCAATAACATGAAAATAGTAACTTGGGATATTTCTCTGACAGACAGGATAAAAAACCAAACTTTTTTTTAATGGGTGAAGATGAAATGATATCCCCGTCTGCGCTATCGGTATACGCTGGCGGGCACCAGTAAGGGATGATTGGTGACACTGAAAGTAGTTAACTGACCTGCTTTCAGTGTTACTGAACTGGGCTAACTGAGCCCATCATGATAAATTTTACAAGAATTAAC